ACAGTCTTAACTACGCTGTGCCAGCGCGTAAGACTGACAGTGTTGCCACACACCACCCCCCGAGTTTCACAGTTTACTAGGCACAAGGCGTGTACATTCAGGTACGTGGATAAGTAGGGGAGCGGTGACTTCTGGGCTGTGAAATCTCGCCGCCTCTTTTCGAACTTACGATGCCCCTTTAAAAGGTTCAAGCTAATTACCGTAGTTGTGAAGATGTGTGGTTATAACAACTGTGATTTGTAAAACGTCATACTTTAATGCAGGAAACAATAATTTGTTTACATAATACTTATATGTTATAAATCCATCGTGTCACGAACCCATAGTAATCACGTGTTACGTCACAATAATACAAGAAATTAAGTAAATTCATGAAGAAAATAGGTTAGTAAATGTAATTATATTGGTATATATTCATTGAAATGCTAAAAAAATAGTTCTGATTCTATTCACCATTATCAGTTTTGTATCATTTGTTTCTACAATGTCGAACTCTTTATAGCATTCTTGTAGCCTGTAAGCTACCTGTTCATGGCACGATGTCTAATGCGAGAACTTCAAATTTTGCTAATTATTACGGACTGTGCGGAACAGGTCCCTTTATTCCATCAAAAGGTAACTCCGTCTTATGACACAAATATGTAAAAATGTATTGAAATTCACGAAGCTTTCAACTTTATTCTTCACTTTTTCGTGGAAAATATAGATAACAAATCTCGATCGGTGCTTAACTTTAGTACCAGATGGAAGTGAATGATCAGCTTTACTACCCGGCCGCCTTAATCCCCTTCCCCGGGGAAAAAGACACCGTTACACATTATCCCAGAGGCTGCATGGACCCCAGAGCCAGTCTGGATGTCGTGGTGTACAGGAAAATCCCTGCTTCTGCTGGGAATCGAACTAGTCCAGTCATTTTAGATACTGGGTTACCCTAATTCGTGACATAAAAATGTTCTTTGGACATCACTAGGAATGAAAACGTCTTCCTTAGCATCAATGGCATGAAACACATTCATATGATAAGAAACAATGTCGTAGAATATCATGTAACATCCTGAAATCAGCCAAACATATTACTTTTATATTCTGATTGGCGAAGTACAGCCATATTTGTTTGATGACGTCACGAATTAGTTCACGAAAAAACCGCCGCGCTTGCTGCACGGTTCCATAGATCAGCTGTGTGTGTGAAGGAGGAACATTTGCCAATCAAATTTTATTGGGTGTGGAAAAAAGTAGGCGAAGGTGGCGTGGAAATCATAACACCCACACACAGTTCAGACAAGCACGTTTCTGACCTTAGGAAAAAATGTAGCAAGAAAAACTATGTCCGTAATGAATCAGCTCAACGAAACCATTGGCATATTACAAAGTCCACTGCTTATATTTCACTCTCTACTGGTTATGAATTGTTGGCATTACGAAAGTCCCATGAAAGTTCATGGAAGTTCCGTTTCAGAACTGGCCGATTCCGAATTCACGTATCTACAAAACCGACTTACGTAAGCTTAAACGACAACTACATGGTATAAAATTTGCGGGTTTTTTGATCATGTATTAACATTTTCAAGACTGCAACTGGTAAATATATGAAAATTAAAATGTAAACTTGATCTTTTGATATTGGGTAAAGACCTCAATGACTGGTTGAGCCTAAGACCTAGCGTGGATGTGGTGATGGTGATTAGTCGACGTACAGATTGATATTTCTGGCTGCGTATTTAGGAATGAGCTATTCCCTTGTTAGAAAATTACAATAAGAAACATATATCACATCTACGTTATAGAGCTGTGCCATTGCAGTGTGACACACGACCATCAATGCCCAGAAGTTCAACGTAGTGTCGAGTTCTCGAGCGCTGGAGCTGAAGGCCACGTCCAAACTTGCAGCATGTGACCTATAATATACGGACCCCTCCCACCGGCTGCATTCTACTCTCGTTCTGTCTGTCACCAATATTTTCGCCCTTCACAATCCGTGAGATATGACGGATGAATATGTAACGGTCCGTGGCGATTCAAATGCAATGCCAACCACTGCCGTGGCTCGCTAGTGTGTTAACGGGGACGCTTAGGTTAATTTTGCTAAATCGTCAGATTCATGGCTGATACTTGTAGATTGGTACGGGCGTGGGATGATTGTTAATGAGGATATCGAGAGTATATCAGAGTTTGAATGTGGGATGCCGGTTGATGGGATAGAGCAGGGTTTTGGTAGCACTGCTCGTCTTTCGTCAGTAATAAACACGGATGATGACAGAGAACTCGAGATTTGATCGTGTGTCGGAGTTAAAACTTTTGAAATGCGAACGTTTTGATATGGGGGAGAAAACGATAGCATTGAAACTTTGTTGCGACACTCGAATCGATTTAACGACAATATTAATATATTTACCCAAGTAATGTATTACTACGTAGTTCAGAAGTCATGCATAAATCCGATTTCAAAACTGTTTATTTCTAGTCTGAAAAACTAAATTTTTGACGGTAAATATCGCGACTGGTTCTAGAGTGAGTGCATTTGGGGTAAGAGCTCTGTAGCCCTGTCGGGCGAGGTAAGGTTAGGTCGTGGTACAAGGAAGTGCCATCTGGAGGCCTCTGTTATCTGGTGCACACAACTAAAACTCAGTAAGATTTGAGGTTATCACGGCGGTGAATACAAATATGTCTGTCTTCTGGGTTGTACCGACAAGTAGTCTGGTATAACATTACCAACGTTTCAGAGGTCCTTGCTGCCTCCATCATCAGGGCGATGATACCACCCTGAAAATATGCTTCCGCGGAGAGGAGCCAGCGACTATGCTCTGATTAGTGAACAGGATCTGCCCTCGGTGAATTCTTTCATTCTGAATAGTAGATATACTTTGTCACCACCCACATCACAGTTTCCGCATTCCTTCTAAGGCTACAGAGCTTGGTTTAAACTTCTGAGTTACGCCCACGAGAGCTCTGGTAATATCTGCTTTTATTGGAACCCTCACAGTCTCGGATGTGATGAAATGGTCTTGCTGATCTCAATGCACGATCCAGCCTACGATAGCGTGTGAGATTCGTTATGAAAACTTGCTATTCCGTGCCTGTAAAAAAAAATTTCTTCTGGGTTTCCACCTCAACACCGTTATGCCGAAATGTTACTGTTAGTCACGTACAGGACGGAGTTCTGGCAAAAGTCTGTGGCCCAGTCCATGTTCGATAACTTGCTTATCGGTCGTTCCTGGTATACGAACCACGAGTCTGTCATATTGAAGACGGGGGTCTCTATTATTATTATTCAGTATCAAATCTAAAACTTCTTGACGATGGTGAAGAGTCAATTGAATAAACATTTTCTTGGATATTATCCATCGTCTAGTAAATATAAAACGTAAAACGACGTTTCGGAGATGGGACTCTATCTCCGTCTTCAGGTTCCTACACAGTTGGGCCAACTAGATAGAGCTAATCCCTATCTCCGGACCATATAAAACGTAAAACGACGTTTCGGAGATGGGACTCTATCTCCGTCTTCAGGTTCCTACACAGTTGGGCCCACTAGATAGAGCTAATCCCTATCTCCGGACCTTCCTTGGATATTATCCATCGTCTAGTAAATATAAAACGTAAAACGACGTTTCGGAGATGGGACTCTATCTCCGTCTTCAGGTTCCTACACAGTTGGGCCAACTAGATAGAGCTAATCCCTATCTCCAGACAAAGTAAAAAGTGAAAGTCCCGGAATAAAAAGCTTCGTTTGTCACTCGATCCGTCCACCTGATCTTCTCTATTCTTCTCCAACACCACATTTCGAAACTCTCCAGGTATTTCTGTTCCTTCTTCCTGAGTGTCCAAGTCTCTGCTCCATACGTAACACTTCACTAGTTTCTTCTTCATCTCCAAGCCCAACTTGCTAGTGAGAAGTATCCTCTTCTTGACGAAAGCTGCCTTGGCCATGGCTATCCTTGCTTTTACTTCCTTGGTGCATAGAGCATCCGTCGTGATTATGCTTCCCAAGTACTTGAAATGCTCTACATTCTCCAGCTGTTGGTTTCCAGGGGGTCTCTATAGCCTCATAATGTTCTAGTATTGTCAGAATGCCGGATGGAGTTAAATAATTGTTGTGAAGCAAATGGCGTTTGGACATTTCCTGTTATGTCTTCTAATTTTAACAGTATTCTATCATGACTGTACAAGTATACGAAAATGTAAATGAGTTGTAACATGATAACGTTCGACAACACCGCGACCGAACACAGCCAAATTTGGATGTCCCCGCGTTACTATACAAATGTTTCATGACGTTTACGTTGAATTCTGAAAAGAATTTCTGATTCTAAGATATCTGTTTCACTGAAGAGTAGAATTAATATTAGAACCACTATCGAAATTTGGGAAGTTAAAATCACTTTGTTAAAATCACGATTTTGGCAACTTAGTACATGTACGGCTTTCAAAAAATTCTTCTCCCAATCCCACTGTGCAAAACATCAGTCATAAGTACGCAACTTCAACTCCTATCTGTGGTGGAAGGGTCTAAGTATTGAAATGTGATATTATAGTAAGGGAGCCTTACGTGTTCACAGATTTGCTTACTTCGATCGGAAATAATTTTCTGTCCACACAGTACATTCAGCCAAGTTCGTTTGCGACCGACACGCCTCGTTAACAGAGAGAGAAACTTGAAGTATTTTTTTGTTTGCGCAGACGACAAATTTCTAACTGTAACCTACTCACAGGCAAAGTTTAAAGTTTACGACGCTTTTCAGTATCTTGGACTATACAGAATGCCCGCAACAGGATGTCCATACCTTAACTACGTGCTCTTGGGATCATTATGAGTCGAAAAAGTTCGTATAAACGTGGCTCCATTTCGCAACGGTTTGTTAAGAAAATGCTCCGCATTCACTATGCATTGACTGTGTTTGCGAAATTAATTCACTAGGCTGCGCACATGGCGCACGTAGGGAAGTCACAGGGCAGTCAGTGCTTGACATCTAAGCGCTACGTGCGTTTCCTACAGGAGAGCTGTCATTGATGTTATAAGATGTTCCTCTGCTAACCACGCAAGATAATGCACTTCCTCATCTTGGTAGGCAGGTGACTGCATTTCTGAATCGACACCGTTGGAATGGCAGAGGTGGTCCAGTTGCTAGGGCAAAGAGATTATCAGATCGATCGTCTTTGGACTACTTTCTCTGGGGTCGCATAGAATCCCTGGTGTATGCCATCAAGTCAAACAGAGGGCTGAGACGCTGAATCGAATAATGGACACCGATACCAACATCAAAAATGATCATGACAATATGTGGAGGGCTGTTACTTCAGTTACACGAAGGGCTCTACTGTGCATCGACAATCAGGATGGCCATTGCGAGTCACGTAAATAACGTGAGTAATCGAAAATTCAATTTAGTGTAATCTAAACTTGATAATAACAACAATGTAACCTAAAATTAAATGGAAATAATGTAAAAGTTATAAATGCAATAAAATGCACATTCTCGTTTTCTTGACAAACCGTTGTAGATGGAACCATATTTATTTGAAGTTTTCGACTCAAAATTATCCCAAGAGCACGTAGTTAAACTAATGACACCCTGTTTCGCGTCGAATGAAAGGATGATAATGAATAGGAAAGGATATCGAAGAACGTGGTCGTGACCTAATTTAAGCTACTATCCTGGCATTTGCCTGAAGGGACTGACAAATACCACGAAAAACCTCAGTACGGAACCTCCCGAATACGAAGCAGGCCTGCTTGTTACCCACTCGACCACGACATTCGGTCTCAAGACAAATCAGCAAGAAATTTAAATGTATGTTGTTGGAAATGTTTTTGTTAATTTCCAAGTTCAATTTTGTGAATACTGATTGAGAATGACAATGGTTCGTGTCCCCCTGACAGAAATGCACTCAGGATCCCACGAAAAGCAGCAAGTTAAGGTCAACAGACCTTCCGATAGAGGCCAACTGTTACGTATAAGTGCGCTGTAACACGTAAAATTGTCCTATGCTTAATTAAGTTCCGCGCGATCAAAATATATCGATATTAACGCTCCGGCCGCTTTACCGCCAAGGGAAGGTCTACAATAAAATTCCAGGTGGGAAGAAAAATTCCTATCCCTACTGGAAATAGAATCCAGCTACACATGAGAGATATTCTGCTGTGTGGCATAATTCAGGTGCATTACTCATTTCTCCCAGTAGAGGCAGCAAAATTGCCTTCAATTTATTTCTAACATCAATTATCCATCAGAATGAAACATCTTCTGCTGCATAATAATGTATACCTGACACAACACCAGACTGTTTTAAGCCTAAATAAAAAGATAATGGATCCGCCTTTAATTCAGCTGTTGTCTAGTGTGTATCCGATAACATACAGCTTTTACAATTGCCAGCATACCATCCAGACAGGAGTGGGCCTGCTAAAGGCCTACGTAGACAAAGGGTCATCATGTAAAGTGATGTGCCATGTTGATAAATTTAGCGAGTAATGTGTAAGAAAGGCCTTATTTCAATCTGTCAGTCTAGATTTCCCTCCAGATCAGTAATTCAAACTGCCCAGCTGGAATATTTTTTTAAAATATGCATGAAAATTTTGATCCTTTTGCCATGGTATAGAGTCACAAAGGTGGTCAGTAGAGCCCTTATGGAAAAGTTTCGAGAGGACACATCTTTGTCAGCTGTCATAACAAGGCAGTGTTAAAATGGCTGCCTCACACAGTCTATAAAAAGATAGGTTATGTCAGGTATTTAGTGCAGTTGGACTTGTATGAATGGGTGGTCCAAACTAATAAATGAAGAGATTTCTGACCCATCTAATGGACGTAGAGGAATAGGTACCTCTGCCACTATCCACAGCCTCCCCTCCCTCCACACACGGAGCATTACCAATCAGTTTCGTAATCCTCAATCTGATTCATCTGGTTCATCCCTATCAAGCTGTGGCAAGTTGGATTTGGGTTCTCTGAGGATAGGCAATAACCGCAAAGGGGCTACCCCCACAGCTGTTAAACAAGGTCTGGAGCCCCAAAACAAGCCATTAAGTAGTACAGCAAAACAAACAGAAGACATGGTTTATTCACCATTCAGTCACCTGATACGGCCTGTAACCCGAGAGTCTTTCATCAAATCAAACTGTTAAAATGAACAGGTAGAGAGATTTATTGACCTATTCAAGGAATCATGCTACGAGAATGTGTTTAAACAATGTAAAAGAAGCCATCTCGTTACATGCCAATGTTAGCACTTAGGGGAGGTGAGGTATAGCTCATATCCATTCCTAACCTCAGCACTAGAAGGGGGAGAGTGGTGAACAGCATGCCCCAGCAATGCCTTACCCCTGGGAAAGGATCACGGTACCCATTGGACAGGAGTCTGGTCTGGATGCAGAGGCTGGAATAAAATCCTCTGCCTCTGTTGGGGATTGAACCCCATTCGCCCGGCCGAAGCCAGTCACTATATTGACTGAGCTATCTGGCTCACATTTAAACAATGAACATTTTGTAAAAATAAATTAGAAACATCTGTAACTCTTTTATGCCCTGTTTCACAGTACACTGTCATAAAACAGGTCTGAGATGCATACGAGAAAAATAATCACATTTCTTTTAACATACGCTAGACCTATTTCAAGTCTATAATTACATCTCCATCTATTACTACATGCCTATCACAGAAATTCTATTTACAAAATCATGTAAACACAGTATACAAATACATATTAAAAAAATTGATCTTCTTCAAATCTTAATACTTTGCATACGGTGTAGTGTATTAGAATATAAAATAAGTAAACAAACAACTATTAACACTATAAAAAGACACTATTGCCATATGCATTTCAACCTCAAGAGGTCATCATCAGTGGCATCAGGGAAATTAATTCATCTAATCAAATGGTTTAAACTGGATTTAGAAATAATCTGGAGTTCATAGGTACGGACACCGCAACTACAGCTCGCCGAGACCAGCTACGGCCACCGAACCACTGGATCAATAGCTAAGTGCAGAGTTCAACTCCTGTGAATAACAACATCTAGTGCAGTATCGCTTGACATACTTTTGTGAAACACCTTATTTATTTCTAAATCCAGTTTAAACCATTTGATTAGATGAATTAATTTCCCTGATGCCACTGATGATGACCTCTTGAGGTTGAAATGTGTATGGCAATAGTGTCTTTTTATAGTGTTAATATTTGTTTGTTTACTTATTTTATATTCTTCAAATCTGTTATAACTGTATTAATCATGATCTTCCATTGTGATTATTACTTTCCCAGTAGATTTCTTGTCCAAAACAAACTGCATAGCTTCATTTACTTTCTTCAGGGAAAACGTCTTTGTAATTACTGGACTTACAAGCCTCTGATCTGCCATGTCAATTGCATCTTGAACAATCTGCCTGTAATAGCAACATAACAACACATAAAACCAGGGAATAATTTAGTCCTACATGATTACCTTTATTAATGTCAATGATGCCATTTATTTTCAGACAACAGACTATATTAATTCCCAGACTACATTAATTCCCCATACACATATCACAGCAGAACATAGTAAAATCAGTAACTCGAACATAGTCTAAAAAAGGGCATATAAATCAGCTGGTGTGACTGAGATGGGATACAGCCAATTTAAATAGTGATAACAGATAAAGCTGTCACCCTTGATGGACTATTGGTTAATATGCTTGCAGCTGGACCCGAGGTTTGCGGGTTCAAGCCCAGCCGAGATCGATGGATTTTTTAATTGTGATAAAAAACCATAACACAACTTCCTTCGGAGGGAAAGTAAAGTCGGCGGTCCCATGTCGTAGATTTATGGAATGTAAAAGAACCTTAAGGGCATGAACGAGACGTTTCGGTTCACTACTAGATGGCTCTAACAGACATATCAGGATTGAGTAGAAATTGTACAGAGGCAGTGGGCTTGTCACTCACTAATAAATGCACACTTCAAAAACAAAGAAACCTCCCACACGGGAGGAGGCCAAGGCTCGACTTTGGGCTGTTGCGCCATAGAAAGAAATAACGGACAAACCTGAAGTAATATTAGGTGCATGATTCATATGCTTCTCCTTGGCATTGCTATATGATAAAATAATCAGTACTATGATGGGAGGAAACAGAAACATGATGATTTTGGTTTGGGAAAGAAATCTCTTAGAATGTCTGCTTTGAAGAATTAAATGGAGACAGAAGGATAATATTAAAATGGGCCTTACAAAAACTGACTGTCATGTGGACAGGATGAAGATGTCTCAGATTTATGTAATGCCTTTTGTTTTTGGAGCCCCGCATCATGAAAAACTATGCTGTTGTGGTTATCTAATTTGAAGTAGTACCCATTTATTTGCCTGGGCAAACAGAGGCACATCAGCCTCAAACCATGGACATCTAAAATAACACAAAAGGCAAAGAGGCAGTCACCTTGACACTGGTTACCTCAAAATTGGCAATTTTATTATCACAACAGTATAAATTCTGGTGTGGTAGATTTAAATATTAACCCCCATACTCATGACATGAATACACATCAGCAATCCACCATAGCTAGAACTCAGCTCCACATAAAAGGTTCAAAAAACAATATGAACGAAAAAGTGTTTTGTATACACCGCACCTAAATTATTCTTTTATTATATCATTAAGTCACCTGTAAATGTGAGGACTGGTTCTTCGATAGTTCCGAAGAGACACACCGATAAGACTAAAAGACATGGGCAACAATTCACCAGTTTTAATCTCAGGAACTAGCCTTGATGCAGAACCCGCTACTATCACAACACCTTCAGCAGCGACACTGGAAACACAATGAGCAGATTATCTTCAAGTTCATATGTTGAATAAAAACTAAATAAACAACAGTTTGTGATAAAAGATACAAAATATGTGACAAATATAGCATCTGTATGAAATTAAGACAATTCTTAATTAATTTATGGTAAAAAGTAGAAATGGTCAAGGCCAAGACCCACACTGGGTTGTAGAGCCAAGGAAAAAGAATTAAAGATATCTGTTAACATCGACCAGACTACACAGCGCAACAATCCAGAAGACAAAAATCTTCATACTCACCGCTATGAAAACCTCAGGTCATACAAGAAGAATTGTTCCCTGCTTCACACTTAAAAAATGAGATATATAAAATTGGGGAGAAATCCAAAACTGGAAGAAATTAAAACTCTAACAGAGTATAATTATCACTTACTTTTATGTATCATCATTAACAGTATTAAAGTTATGATTAAAACATAATTCAATCATATAATGCTTTTCAGCGGAATTGGTAGCTGAAGCGTGCACCAATCACATGTGCTGTGCCATGGTAGGAAGTAGTGGAGGGAGGTGGAGGGGTGAGATAGTGAGGATACAACATATAGTGGTGCCAGATGTAGCATCGCGGAACATTGGATTCCACAACACTACGCAAAGAACATGTAAGAATTGGCAACAATGCAGTGCAGCTGCTGATGCTTCTACCATGGGATTTCTGAACAAACTGAGGTCTCTCTGCTTGCCAACAGACCTTCTTTGCAATGAATGGTCACTCACAAAGAGAAGAACTCTACTCAGCCGCCAATTCCGCTGACAAATACTATAGTTGGTTATAAGAGCAATGAAAATTCTAATGCAATGGCATTGAACTGTTAAATACATACGAGGGTGAGTCAAAAATTATCCGCACTCCAGTTATATTAAAACTTTGTGGTCTGAGGGTGTGCCTGGTGCCGATATTTATCAAAGACTTTGTGCACAGTACGGAGAAAGTGTTTTGTCACGAAGAAGTGTGTATGAATGGATAGAAAAGTTCAAGGAAAAGTCGCACAAGTGTCAGCCATGAAGAAGGAGCCGGACGCTCGTCCACGTCTGATGACAACATAGAGCGTGCACGTGAAATGATTCTGTCAAACAGACGAGTGACAGTGGATTATTTGGCAAATCATTTGCAAATCAGCCATGGTTTCGAAAAATTTGTGCGAGATGGGTACCGAAACAACTCACGGAAGATTCACCTCTGATGAAGAAGTGAAGACAGCGGTGCATTTGTGGCTCGCAGCTCAGCCTAAAACATTTTTTAATAAGGGAATACGAAAGCTTGTTGACAGATGGACAAAGTATATTGAAAAGCAAGGAGATTATGTCAAAAAATGATGTATTTGTCTTTTCTAAAAGTTGATTAAAATAAATTCTACAGTCAGAGAGCGGATAATTTTTGACTCACCCTCGTATTTTATGACAGATTCATTCTCTGCTTCCCACTGCAGAATTGTAGAGCAAACGTATACAATTATGGTATTTCGGTATTTGTGAATTTCAACAAGCATCCCAAGTCCTTTCATATCCATTTTATAAATGATATTGCCATAAGACAATTTAACAAAACACTCACCATTTTAGAACACTATGAAAAATTTCACTTCCCACAGATTCAAATATGAGTCTGACTCCTTTTCCGTCTGTTACTTCTGCACACTTCTTATGAATTTCCTTGGGAACATTTGTCAGAGCAGCCCAAGCACCTCTTTCTCTAAGCAAAGCTGCTTTATCTTCTGTGTCGCACACTGCAATTACCTGTATAATAAGAACATAAAACCTATATCAAGAGTAACCAAAGCATTGCATATAGGACACTGCACCAGTAAACGCTGCAGACAATTCAATGTGGGATAAAAGGGCTATTGTCAATGAATGAATAGTTGGTAGATTATTATGGCTGTAAAGTTCCAAGATCTAAAAGTGTGATTTTTATTTGTGGGAAAATTATAAACAGAAAATGTACAAAAATCATCCACACACTCTGGAGGCTTTACAGACCAAATTATGAAATGTTACTCTAGAAATCATACAAAGTGTATTGCCCAACATATGTTACAAAATTTGTTACACTGGTGTGAGTGCTGAATGTTGGACAACATTTTCAGTAATTAATGTAATCAGGCATGTAAAATAGATTTATTGAAAATATTTTTCAAGTGTGGACAGAACCTCCAGTCAGATACAGTGGCAGTATGTTATCATCTTAGCTGGAAGAAGTTGCCAACTGCCTTGCATCTTTAAGAAGCGGCAGCAGTAAAGCCTAAAATGAAGAAATTAACCTCTCTGTATAGTGATCAATTACACAATATTAGAGAATGATTTATTGGAAAGGCAATGGAAGGAAGTGGTCATAGCCTAATTTGAGGTAATATCTCAACATTTGCCTGGAGAAACTGAAGAAAATCACAGAAAACCCCAGTCTCTAGGCTGAAATTTGAACTTTGGTGCTCCATAAAACAAAGAAGTTGTGTTAACTATATTCAGCCCCAACTTTCAATAAATACTCAACATAATGAATGTATTGACAATTAAGTAATCTCAAAATAAAAATAAACATTAACAATAACGTACAACTGTTGCCATAAAGCGACTGATTATGGGATGTACGACCAAGGTTCTATTCCTGGTTGGTTCATACACCTGCTGCAGCAATAAGCACATATCACACTGCAGCTACATGGGGTGATGGACTCTGATGGGTTTCACACCCTCAATGACAAAAACACAGATGACAGAACACTTCCTCGTTCATGCATGCTTCTAAGATAACAGCCATATTTGCACTGCTCTGATGCCAGACAGACCATGAACAAAACGTGCCTCTATCCCTTGCTGATGACTTACTAAGCCTACAGCTGCACACGGTAGGTTCCTAACCACTTTTTCACTTTTAAGGTTTTCATTTCACTCGTCCTCGTATGTCGTGATATGGGAGTGCCATAGTTTTGATAGATTTCTCATGCTTATGATTTAAATGAGTGTCAAATCTATTCTTTTCTGTAGCTTCGGTCGAGTCTGAAGCACCTTGTGGCATTTTGTAAGATGCTAGTTCCTTTACACATAAGTGGTGTTAGCCCCAGGCTGGAAGACCACCTATTCTATGTAATAGAAACTATTTATTCAAAAAATTCACTGTCAGTATAATGACTGGCTACGGACTGGACGACCGGGGTTCAATCCTGACGGGGGCAGAGGATTTTTCCTCTAGACTCTGTGTCCAGACTGGCTGTGGGGCCCACCCAGCTTCCTATCCAATGGGTACCGGGATCCTTTCCCGGGGGTAAAGCGTGGATGGGGCGTGATGCTGACCACTCACCCTCATCTAGTGCTGAGGTCAAGAATGAGTAGGAGCTATACCTCCAGTCCCCCCAAACGACCTACATGGCGTGTAGCGGGACATCTTTATTTTACTTTACTCTCACTCTTTTTTATTTATATATATATATATGTGTGTGTGTGTATATATATATATATACACACATATATATACCCTCCATATATAAAGGCCATCTCCTGCATTCACAACCTGAGGAGAGGCCATTCCATGTTGATAGGAAAAGTAGAATGAATTTCATATTTTACTCTACAATTACAAATCAAGAACCTGACACAAATAATTTATTATCTGCATTCATTTTCACCTTTGATCTATATACATTGGCTGCAATATCAACAGCTGCAAGACCCAAGCCACCAGCTGCTGCTGTGATCAAGACAGTATCAGTTTCCTTCAATTTTCCACGTCGAACAAGGCCAATAAGAGCTGTTGAATATGAATCTGCCAATGCAACAGCAGTTTCAAAACTCACTGCAGACGGCAGCTGCCACACATCCTGTAAGTATTTCAATAACAGTTTAACACAAGTTGCCAGACAAACATAAGTTTACAAGATTTTACTACAACTGACTTTTGTGAAGAGTGGTCAGTTAAGCATAGAATTATTAAGACCAAGTATCATTATAAGCTTTAATCTTTCTTTCAGTTTCTGAATGGACAAAGCAGTAAGGTTATTTCTAAGCATCTGGGCGATTGCTAAACCTGTAAGCAGCAAGGTCCTACCATCATGCCAACCGCCCAAGATTCTAACTACTGGCAAAACCAACAGGGCCTACAATCTAAATGAATTAGAAATAAAACTTAACTTCACTCTCCAATGTTCTGCACACATTCCTGGTACGACCATATAAAGGTTACATCCACAAATTGACATACTATTGGGAAATAACTTTTCACTGGCACCCACCACATGCCATGGGATATCATGTATTAAACACAAACTGTGCAAATTTCAGTAGCTGCAGAAGATATGGTTTATTCACCCACCTGACGTGGCTTGTAACACGAGTCTTTCATCAACTTCAGTCGGCACAAAAGCTTCACTTTATATATCTGTGTATGTACTTCAGTATGTAAATAAAACCAAGCCTCATCAGAAAATAAAATCAGCTGAACATTGATTTGACCATCATGACATGAATAGACTGAAAATGAAATTACAAAACTGTGTCCTGCTAGTGGGATCACATAGTTGCAATTCATGCACTAGTAGTACTGTCTTAGAAGCTTTCAGATTTGGGAGTTTTATGGTTCCTGGTTTGTGACACCATGCTGTCTTGAAGGTGGTTACCAATGTTTCGGAGGAATATACCACCTCCACCTTTAGGATGAAGGAAGTCAGAAGTGATCCGTTCCTCCAAAATGTCAGTAATGACCTACAAGACAACACTGCGTCACAACCCATAAATAAATAAATAAATCCATGGCGTAACAGCCCTCTGAGAGCCAAAGCCGACTACCTTGACTTCTGGTCTCACGTTCACATGCCTAAGCAGAGGTAAACGATCATCCAATCAGATATAGGGTGACGTGTGGTCAGCACAATGAACCCCCCGCCATTGCTAGTTTTCCTGACCGGATTATGTTACCTATTGTAGCTCCCCAATTTCCTCACGATGCTGGGTTGGCACCGGTCCCATACACTGGTCGAAAGCTCATGAGAAAATTTCTTCTCCCCCGAGACTCGAACCAGCACGCATTCCGTATCGCTGGTCTGAAGCATGATGCCTCAGACTGCGCCGCTACAATTTCCATCTTTACTTTTATGATAGTGTAAATCTCAATTTTGTGTCAGTTCATGTTGACAATTTTGAAGCTTTGGCCCTCATACAAAGCTTCTAAGGGACTTACAAGGAGTACGTCCAAGTCTAGCACCAATTTCTCTTCAGTGAGCATACAACAATTTGATTAAATTTTTTATTCAGCAATGATCCTATATGTTTTAATTTATTTGAAATTCTATTAATAGTTCCAGTGGCCATTTTCCAGGATTCCCCACCAAAATTCTGTATACAATTATTGGCCCCATGCATGCTACATGTCCAGCCCACCAGAGCCACCTGCATTTTGCTATCCTCACTATGCCAGGTGACCTGTACAATTCACGCAGCTCCTACTACTCCATATGAACATGAGTTACATAACTCTCATAAGAGCATATCATTATGTTTTATACATGCCCCATATGAATTCTGCAGCTTGTAGAGAACAAAAGTTATAATTATTTTTAGTGGAGGCAGTGTGCCAAAAAAGTTTAATTTTCTATGATTCTTACACCCCTGGACCACAAAAAATGCAAGTCGTAAGATTCAGAAATTTTGCATCTACAAGCTCACAACCTTTCATTAAAACTTGGTTATGTTAAAAGTGCACTTGTCTGTGATAAGACATGGAATGACTCTGGTACAGAATCTTCATGGGTAAAGGAAGACTGAGAGGAAGAAATTACGATGAACTTCAGGCAGGTAGGTGATACTGTAGTAGTGTGGAACCTTCAGGTTCTGATATCAGAAAGTTAGTTTGACATAACTTAAAGAAATGTAACTTCCCCACATTTCACTGAATCCGAGTTTTATTTACATGGCCTACTCACTCTAACCTGTTAAATGAAAAGTCACCATATTATAAAAATATACATTACATGCAAAAAATACCAATATACATACCAATGAAGACAGAACACACTCTTCTGCAAACCCAGAAAAGAGATCTTTGTTAAGACCAACTATTTTATCTCCAACTTTAAGTCCTTCAGCAGCTTTTGAACCAACTTCCAAAATTTCACCACTCACTTCATAGCCAGGAATAAAAGGAAGTTTTGGAGCAATTTCATATAACCCATGACATATCATAATGTCCGAAGCATTAACACTGCAACATTTTACTTTGATACGAACCTGAAACAAATAGTACTAATAAAATACTGCTTTTTATGAAACTTACCAAACTGTAAATGCTGAAATAAAATCTGAGGTTTTCACACTGGTAAAACTTTGAATTGTGGTTTTCTGGGTTACAATATTATGTATGTCTTGCAGGAAATTGCTAGTGTTTTGGAGGAACCTTCATGTTCAAGGCACAAATGAAAGTAGGTGATAGAATCCTCTGGAATATTGGTAATCACTTGCAGGTGCCATAAACCCAGACGATGACAATAAAAATGTACTACTGGTACTTAGAATCATTTAAGTGCAAAGCATGGCATATTCAAATAAATGTAATCATCTAGTTGACCAACAGACACAGAATATATTCGAAAACCTAAATTTTATGTCATGCACATTTATTTTAATGTTTATCTCACTAAACATTCATCATACATAGACACATCACAAATATAATTTTCAAGATAAACATTTTATGTCACAAACATCTACTACACTTGCTGAAAATAAAGCATTTACTTATGACTAACAGAAACACAAGTACCTACTTATAGTGATGTACAGATGCAGTGGTATAAACAGTAACATAACCTAATCAATTTGAGGTACTCATGGCAATGAAGACATTGATGCTGCTCTCTTGGATTGTAATGTGAAGTGGAGTTGTAGGTAGATATCAGCATTTCTTGAGAGAAACATACCATCTTCATCTTTTCCACATGGCAATATAAACCATAAGGCCAACAACAACTTAAGCCCCGAAAATGTAAACAGTATCGTTTTTCAAAATTATGGTATATATATCTGCAAGTCCACATGGAGTTTCAGCCCCAATGACCAACAAGAAATCTATGAAGTAGTAACATACTCAAGAACCGGTAAAACCAATGAAACGAAATCCAAACGCATGATGGGGGGTCTTAAAATTGAGCGCAAGAAGATAAATTGGCAACATCTGTCAATATAAGAATTGTCCAAAAACATGCAATTCAAATTCCAGGGCAGAATTAGCTTCCTGTCCCCCACAGGATAAAAATAAAATTCTAATACACCTAACTGAATATAAAAATGTTCCCCAACATACTCACTTCATCCTTCTGAAGCTTCTTCTGTTTCTGGTCGTCTAATACTAAATGTTTTTTTAATTCTTGAAGAACAGCGGCCTGATATGTGCTCTTAAACATACGTCCTGTTTTTGAACTGACTGTGTATAGGCCTAATGGTTGCTTGCATCTCTTAGAAGTAAGAAATAGTGTGGAAAATATTCTTCCTAAAGCCCCTGCCATCATGTAAAAACAGCCAACATGCAAGAACACCGGTACACATGTATCATACGACTATCTCTGCATGTTTACCAGGTTCTATGTAATATTTGTGCTTGTAACCTCGGAAACAAACAACGAATCACTTATTAAATCTATGAATCTGCCATCAGGTGCACCATGTCTGGTACTATGTACGACCGATGTTAACATCCATTCTTATGCACTCATACTGTTTACACCCATAGGTTGGCAAACGTAAAAACTATTTCGAAAGTATCGTTAATATTAATAATTGGTTACTTGGCAGTGCTGCAACACTGAACCAAGTACCTAAGTGACAATTATAAACGGGGGTTCTATGCGTAGATGTATAAAAGTTTATTTTTCAGTTTCGATGACAAGATTTTATTTTAAAAGGTTTCTAGTACCTCGTTGATATCTGCATTCCTTTCCGGCAGATGGTACTATAACTGACGTCTCCAGCGTTGCAATATTGACTATGGCAATATCCTATTATGTATCCAAAAGAGTTCAACATTAACAAGACTCTGAAATAGTAAATCCAGTTCCAGATTTATAGAGTACGTATTATTTTATTAGTTATTTAACTGAAGTTTAGACACATTTTACTTTTGGTTTTCGGCTACGAGTGCTATGTTTGTTTTAAATGGCATGACATCGAAGAAACCCTTTCGTTCAAATAAAATGTGGCAAGCTTTGTAGTAATTTGTCAGCTGTTGAAAGCACGCGTGATGTTTGTGAGTGAATAGGTTATTTGAGGACACGGACTTCTACAGTTCACCAGAAAACTGAATAAAACACACAGGTATTTGCACGTTCTGTGTTGATTTTACAACTGCATTTATCAAAAATAAAGTTGCACAATAGAGTTGAACTGAACGTCTGATATAGGTAACATATTGTTACAAGAGGCTTGTGTATGATATATTTATCTTCCTTTCCTTGTTATTGCACGCAGCGTTTTTTATAACATCGCAAAGTTTAAGGATGTGGTAATTAGTGCCCCAAGAAACGTGTGTGTACTTACGTAATCTTAACAGTTATCCTGTTACGATGAGTGGCATGTTAGATAAAACCACTCCGTTTTCCAGCCATTGAGAATTACTTAGCACTTTTTAGTCGCACACGTGTCCCTTGACAGTTGTTTAGTTATTTAATGAATTTGTTAATTCAATATGACCTTAAGAATTAAACAGTTGTAATGACTTAGTGATATTTTATTCGTTTATACTCATTAGTTTTTGCAGACGTGAGAAGTGTGAATATTCCCGCGTTTTAAGGACATCAACAAATGCATTTAAACAAGTAAATATTTAAACGTTCATTCCGTATCTTCACACAGATTCATGAGTAACGCATCTTCCAAAATCAGAGTGCACTGCATCAAATAAGGTCCTTCAATATGGGGAAAATGTGGATTGTAGTATTTCGGATTGTGATGCTGTGTACTCTTGTAGGTAGTACCTGATGTTCTGCATTTTTTGGATACTGAGGAAGAATTTAAATTTATGGGACAGCAGATGAGGTATTTATAGGCTTCAAGAATACCCAAATTTTGTTTAGGAGAGAGTAATTGTAGAATGTTCTCATTGAAATCAATGTAGTCATGCATCTAGCTAACTCCATTGAGCCAATTTGTTCATGAGAAGCAACTAGTTGCTCAGCTATCACAAAATTTCCTGTTCTTTTTCAGTCATAGGTTAATTACCATATTCACAAGATTCTGCCAGTGGTCCCCATTTATAGCCTGATGAGTCCAGTCCAAACCATTCTACCCAACTTCTTTAAAAAAAAACCCTCAATATTATTCCTCCATTTATGCCTACGTCTTTCAGGCAATCTCATGTTACCTGACAGGAACTTTGTGTGCATTTCTTATCTCTCCTACCTTTGATACATGCCTCACTCATTTCATCCTTGGTTTGAACAACCAAATAATAGTTGATGAAGAGTGTAAATTGTTCAAGCCCTAAATTTACAACTTTAGTCTCTTGTTACTTCCACATATTATTCTCAGCAGTCTATTCCCAAACACCCTCAATCTGTGTTCCTGTCTTAATGTGAGAGAGTTTCTCAAACATCACGCAAACAACAACTAAAATTACAGTTTTACAATTTAATCTTTATTATTTTAGATAGAAGAGTGGAAAGATGGAAGATTCCAAAGTGCATTATACCAAGCAGTTTTTATGTCTTATCCTGAACACTTTCACACCCAAATCAAATAGCTTGTAAAAATCTTTATAACCCTGAAAATATGTAAGTCAGCCATAATGTTTATGGTTGTGATCTCTAACTTTGTTGAGAGCTTGTTAACTCTGCTGTAGCAATTATTGAGGAATATCACTATTATCAAGTGAAGCTTTCACGGCAACCGAAGTTGATGAAAGACTCTCGTGCAACAAGACGCGGCTTGTTGCCCGAGAGTCTTTCATCACTATTATCTGTTGCATATGCCATTTTGTCCGTTTGTTTCAAATTTAACTCTGTAGGATTTGAGGTTTTGAGGTTTTCACGGCGGTGAGTCTGAAAATGGCTGTCTTCTGGGTTGTTACACCGTGTAGTCTGGTAGAAGTTTACCGACATTTCAGAGGTCCTTGCTGCCTCTATTATCAGGGCGATGAAAATTATTGGGGATCATCATTGTGGATTTCAGTGTAATTGCTGATAAGATATTCTGTGTTCTTCAGATGCTGAAGAAATATTAACAATGCAGTGGAACATTGCACAAAGAAAGCCTATGATTACATTAGGAGTGAAGTATCATATAACATTCTCATTCAATATGGAATTCTCATGAAAAGGTTAAATATAATGCTTGAGCTAAAACTGATAATATTTTAATATAGACACTTTGTTGTCTGCATGTTGGATATTGTATCATCATTGTAATAATAATGTGTATAAATGATGCACTTTCTAATCAGAATTGTCTGAAATGGGGGTAATTAACCTGTGGCCCACAAGCTGGATGTAGCCCACTGCTCTTTTTTGTGTGGTTCCTTTAATGTATCAGTAACTTGCAAGTAGAACCATTTCTAGGGTGTGGTAAATGGTGATGAACGCCCCAGGCTCTGGAATTTGGCATCACTGTGTTTGTTTGATGTTGTGGTTTTAAATCAGTTTGTTTTTGTTGTGTGGGAATCTTAAGTTAACAGTAGTCACTAAAACAGGTGGCTAAGACTGTAGGTCAGTTACGTAAAAGAAGTGTGTACTTGTAATGATCAGAAAATATTATTAATTATATATGAGTCACATAATTTGGGGAGGGGAATTTCCTTATCAGTTCTTCAGCAGAACTACAGTACTTCATGTTGATGCTAATCTTCAGAGTTTCCACCTGGAAACATGCAAGCTTGACATTTTTTAATCGTTTGAGTTGGAATGTATTTATCAAGTATCAGCCCACATTAACGTGATGTTTATGTTGCGTTTATTGAATGTATGCCTCTTGTGACTGTACTGTACTTTCAAGCAGACTGTGGTAGATGTCAGGGTTTTCCAGTGTGGATTGTTGATGTAACTGAATTTACTTTAACTTATTTTCGGATAGAATTGTGACCGCTTCTTGACAGGCAGAAATATCATTCTTTGCAACTTTCATACGATTGTATAAGTAGTATGTTTTTATGATGTTACTTCCTTGGGTTGTTTATAAGTAAGGAAAACTGGGCTAAATTAAATGACAACATCTTTTGCAAAAAATGTAAAGTGGGCTCTGAACCTGAAGTTTTTCAAGAGAAGTTAAAAAATACTTGTGTGTTTATATGAATGGGAAAGTTTTGTGTTCAATTTGTAGACAAAGTACTGCTGTTTAGAAGATTGCTGTCTTCCGGGTTGTTGCATCGTGTAGTCTCGTAGATGTCTGCACGGCGCAACAACCCAGAAGACAGCAATCTTTAGACTTACCGCTGTGAAAACCTCAGATCTTACATACTGCTGTTATGAAAGAAAATAACACTGCCAGGCATTACAGTTTATAGCAAAAAGGAAAAATACAAACTCTGTCAGTGCTCTGAGAAGAGGAAAAGTGGCAACTTTAAAAATGGGGTTTGAGTCACAACAAAATGTCTTTAGAAAATAAGTCATTGATAGTTCCTCTGAATTATGGGAATGTTATTTGTTGTATAATGTAAGAGATTTGCCCTGAAAAAGAAACTGTTTTAGTGCTGTAAGTTTGTCTCTTGCAACAATGACACGATGACCTGAAGATATTAGTAGTGACGTACTTGTAGGATTCCAGCTTCTCATGGCGGTGAGTCTGAAGATGGCTGTCTTCTGGGTTGTTGCGCCGTGTAGTCTGGTAAAAGTTTACCGACGTTTCAGAAGTCCTTGCTGCCTCCATCAGGGCCATGAGTTACACTCAACCCATCTATAAGACACACCCAAGTCAATAACTTATTTTTTATTTTTTATTGTTGATAAAATATAAAATATAAGTAGAAGTGAGAAGTAAAATCTGCTGTGTCAATATAAAGTATAATTAAAATGACAGAAGAAAACAGTGGTAACAGCAGAAGAGAGAAATGGGAAGACAAGTCAATCAGTAAAGTTGCTTTGCTGTAGAACGTGCCATTAGAAAGTTCCAAGAAAGACAAAGAGAGTTAGGTATTGAATCACATCAGATTCTTAGTGGTGAAATGTCCTAAAAGAAAGCATAAGTGCTATAAAGAAGGAACATGAGATTGGTTAGAGGTTTCTAAGGAAGCAGATAGAAAATAATATTGTTATGTCTAATCACCAGACTACAGGACAAAATCATAAAATAAAAGCAGTTAATAAATCATTTAACGACTTGAGGAAATTCAAATATTTTGGAGTAGTAGAAATTTGAGGAATGCTTGATACCATGGAGTTCAGAATCCTTTGTTTTCCAGTGTGCTATTTAAAATGTAAAAATTGTATATAGGAAACTATGTTATCTGTGTTTTATGTGGTTGTGGATATGAAATCTGGTCTCTTACATAAAGGAAAAAACAGATTGAGGACAGGGTACAGAGGAAAATACGTCATATTTGGTCCTGAGAGAGTTAAAGTGGTAGGAGTCTAGAAAATTGTACAGGGAGGAGCTCCAGTATTTGGAATGTTCATCAGATGATCAAATGAAGGAAGATGAGATGTGTTGGGCATGTAGATTCAAAAGGGGAGGTGAGAAATGCATACAGAAGTTTGTTTGAAAACCTGAAGGGATAAGGCCATTCAGATCAGGACGTAGTTCAGAGGAAAATATCGACAATCTTAGGATGGGAGGGTAGGAATTTGTGGGCAGAATTCCTTTCAGCTTCTGAAGAGGGACTGAGCTCACATTTAGATTGTTAATATAGTGGTTCCTCAATTATCAATAATTGGTTTCACAAATTCCATTATTATTTAAAAGTATCCTTAACCGTACACAGGAAATACATGTTAAAGGCTTAATTCATTTTAAGACGATCGGAAGTTGATCTTTCCACCCAAGAAACATAATTTATAATGTAGTAAACATGAAAATTTAATAAATAAAGGTTATAAAATCATATTAAAGCATTGTACTTAGAAACATACATGATGAATAAGTAATTAGAGCATAAAACATTCCTACCCTAAGCTAAGGGGATTAGTGGTTTAATGGAGATGATCAGGTGAAAGAAAATTAATTTTGAGGGATGTTGGTGGTTGTTACATTCAGATGTTAATGGCTCCATTTGTCTCTTTCTGAAGGAACTATCAAGAATTGTCTGCTTTGCTGACTTCCTCCTTTTAACTAACAACTTCCTGAAGTAAGAAATCCCTTTGACCTAAAAATTTCAGAGTAACAGCTGTGTTTATTCTGAATACTACTGGGTAGAGGGGGCTGCAGGCTGTCACAGTGTGGACTCTTGGCAGGAGATGCCACTGTGGTCTCATGGATGGTGCTAGTCAGCTTCTCGACACACTTGTCAATTGCCTCCTCGTCTTTTACCACGGGTGTATCATGCTGTAAACATTGCAACAGAATCCACTATGTCTTAGGTGCAGCAACTGATAATATTTTTGTCCATAATGGAAGAGTAAGTTAATTTCGTTCAGCTCTCATAGTAAAAGGCCTATCAGACCAAGATCAATGCCCTCTCATGTAATCGGATAACAAGTAAAGGATCCCAGAAACGTTTTTGATGCCTTTGGTTACGGGTTCGGAAGGAACGGAGACAGTCTCTCACCAACGAATCTGCTGAGGAGGCAGTGGCAGGCCACGAGGAACCCCGCTCTGAAAGCTCGGGTCAGCCGCCTCCAGAGGTCGGTGACCTATCGGCCCAACGCGTAGAGGAACGAACAGTGGAGCGACACGCTGGAATCCTTGGACTGCGAGGACCAGTCGCTATGGAAGATGACCAAGCGGGTGATGCGAGTCCCCACTCCGTTGCCCCCCCTTGCAAGTGCCGGGAGGACTTGCTCTCTCGGACTCGGAGAAACCGGAAGCCCTGGCCGATAACCTTGAGGTCCAGTTTCAGCCGGCGGACGACCCGTCGGACCCGCAGTTATTGACGTGGTTAACGAGGCGAAGCGAGCATACGAGTATGCCCCCGCAAGTGAACCGAAATTAACCAGTCCCTCGGAGATCCTTCAGGCCAAAGTCCTCCTTTGCTAGGTAACTACCCTAGGACTGCCTGGCGAAAACCATGTCCTATCTTGACTGCAATCAGCCACATCACATGGCATGGGTTGCGGACTGGAGTGGCCGAGGGCGGACTCGACTCGTCTATGCAGTTGAGCCAGTATGTGAACGACATTCACACGCCCTTCCGCCATGTTGAGCTAGCGCTGTACGCGGATGATATGGATCTTGTTGCCACGTCCCTTATTCCATCGCGTTTTGTCGGTTATCTGGAGGCCTGTCTCGGTGACTGGAGATCGGTGGATTTCTATCAACATCTGAAAGAGTACCGCTGTGGTGATGGTGCCCTGGGCGAGATTTATAGCAAGGCCTTTTAAGAAGAAGTGTACATGAAAGGCACTTTAGATAATTGTATTTATAATTTCAACGATTTGCGTAATGCCTCACTGGAACAGACTCACCCACTCGACGTAGGACTTCCTCTTTTTAAGCAGTAAACACAATCGCGGTCAATTATTGCGTTTGAGAGATACGTAGTTGAATACAGATTGCTTATCAAGGCCAGAAAGGTTAGGCCATAGTCGTAATTAAAATGCTTTTATACTAACTTCAGCACCAATTAATTGGAGAGCTTTATAGCCACAAGCATTCATTGTGATGAATGTGAAGTCTGGAAACAACTAATTAGTAATAAAAAAACATTGCACAACTTAGGCTTTCGGGTGAGAACAGCGTCGAATGTTCGTTGTTAACTAACGTTTCGGCAGACATTACAGGTCGGGCGAGTTCTCATACCCGCCTTGAAAATGGCAACTCCTCTCTAATAATCGTTCCAATTCAAGCCTTTTTGACATTTCTATATGAAATAACTAACTAACTAGATGGCTTACCGAACCCGAAGGTTCATCACCGAATTAACCAAAGCCCTCCACCGGACCCTGTCCTGGGACAACAAAATCCAGTTTCCTTCAACTCCTATCTCCCATAGATCCCGCCTGAGATTATCCTCCCATCTACGTCTAGGTCTAACCACCGGTCTCTTCCCCTCAGGCTTCCCAACCAACACCCGGTGCACACTTCTTGTCCAATCCATGCGTGCCACATGCCCAGCCCATCTCATTCTTCTCGACTTAATCACCCTGACAATATTGGGGTTGGAGTATAGATTTTTTTTATTCGTGTTTCTCTGGCACTGCCTGAATGTTTCCAGTCACAGCATCCACTTTTATCAGTTGAGAATTGTAATGATGAAAACAGTCGGCATGAAAGACAATCAGTACTTTTCTTGGTTTATCCCTGATTCTGTTTTCAACTATATTTGAAAATTCGGTTGTAGTGAAAGGTGCTACAAAGTCTTTTTTCATCTTTTGGGCATTCTTCATCGCTCAGTTCAGGGCTAATAATGCCTACAAATACGAAGGAACTGTCAAACCATACATTTCTTGGAATGACAGGTGCTACTGGGCGCTGCAGATTGTAATTTTCATATTTCACTAACAAAATACTTTACCTTTAAAAGTTTGGTTTGCACATCCTGTACTAAAGATTCCTAACTCCTTTATCAATCGTTGCTTGATGAAGCCAGTCCGTCACGTAGCGTGGGCTACTTGTGTACGTGAGAAAGGTGTTCAACTTAACGTAGGTTCTATACAGAAATACAATACAGTTTCCACATTCCCTTTTCAAAAGATGTTGGGTCATATAGCCCGGAGCTGATGCTCAAGTCACAACGCCCACATGGTCCGGTTTTCTAAGTCTGAATGTGTTCAAAGTATGTCACAAAATACAAGAAATTCTGAACAAGTCAATGGTAGCCAGTCCTGAATGTTTTCGTATAAGCTTAGAGCGAGAAGTGCTGGGACTTGCGCAAGAGACTGATTTTGGTCGTGCGAGATGGACCCGTCCAAAGCACGCGCTAGAGGGGTGTCAGCTTCAGTTGGTTCGTAGCTCTAGCTGTGTTTAGTTCGGGGCGTCACCGCAGCTGAGGTTGTGCGACCCCCACTACTACTGAACTCCCCTCTCTCGGCTTAAACATCGCGCATTTAGGTGCCACGACTACTCGCGCGACCTCTACAATATATAAAATTTCAATACCCTGTTTATTCCAACCCCACAGGTTCCTGGGATAGCTATGTTGCTATTACCATTTGTATAAAATTAAAACGTACGAGCTAGTGGCATGCCCATACTAAATTTCGTAAAAATCTACGCAACTGTTCTCGGAATCAAACATGCTGGCCGACGGAGAGACAAGGTCAGGCCAATTGCTTCAGTTTTACGAACGTCGTGCACAGGAGGCAAACATGAACTTTATACTACTATCAATAAAATCTTCTCGGGCAATCAGCCGCGTTAACTGATTACCGTAGTAAACCGACGTTTCGGGAACAAACTCAGCCCCCATCTTCAGGGTTCTGATGTGATTGGATCCTTGGAGTCGAATACATTAGTTCCGCTCTGCATTTAGTGTTTTATACACCATACGCGTTTTTCCTGAAGGTTCTTAGCTGTCTTTTTAAAATGTTGTTACGTTTGTGATTTATTAGGGACTTTTCCTAATCATGCCACGGGATATCCTGTTATGGAAGTAATTTAATATGCAAATTCAAGGAAACGCCATGCAGTTTTCTTTCATAGCATGTTCAATGGGAAACGTGGTACCTAGTTCTCGTATATGATATTTTTTTTTCGATAAGAACGACTGATTGAAGTTTCCTCTTTCTCGTTTGTGATATGGTGGTACCATCAGTTGTGACACTGATCGAATACCTCGTTTAATTTCTCGTTGGTATTATTTTCAAGTCTGATTATCAGCATCGAGATTTTAAATGAAAATTTTCGAACACTCTTCACAAGGCAGTGGATAGCCATTTGAAGGGATGGCGAATACTACTGAGAGTTTTAGATCAAGGTCTTGTTGGTCACGCGATGTTGCTGAGTCATGTAGGTTACGTAGTTTGTGGGAGCGAGCGAAGGTCGTAGTACCTTGCTCTTGCAGCATTCTTTTCCTTGTTTGCTTTTGCTTGAGATAAGCTATCCCAACTAGATTTCGATGTAAAATGCTTGAATTCGTGTGCTGTTTCAATAACCGTTAAAATGAACGTTCACTGTTCCCATTTGCCTCGGCCCTAGACTCCCGGGATGTAAAGGAATTGTCCGGTGTCTACCAGACTACACGCAGCAACAACCCAGAAGACAGCCATCTTCACAGACTCACCGCCTCCCCTCACCAGTTTCAATATGGCCGCTATCCGTCAGTAGATGCCAGCATTTCGGAGAAACATGCACGTTTCTTCAAACATTAATTTTAATTCCTTGAATTGTTTTTATGCCGGCAACAAAACTGCATATTGAACGCTCCAGAAAACAGAAAAAAAAGTCCTCTTCAACACCCCCTACAGCGTCTTGTATAGCATTATCAGTCTTATTTGGCTTGGTTTTCCTCGCGTGTTTGGCCACTTTCCTATATGATACAAATTCAGTTCATTACATGGACGTTCAATCAACGAATACGATGGCCCAAAACAGCAAAAAAGAAATCACCCTGTGTGGTAGGTGGTTTACTTCTTTTATCGTGTTAGCAGCACTGATTACAGAGCTAATTTTAATTGTGACAATATAGGTTGTTTAAGGCACGGCGGTTACAGTGATAGAATTTGTAATTCCTAGTAGGCACGCTCGGTGTAGGACTTAAGTCGTATCTGGAAAGAAGTTGGAAAAGAACGTAGTTCATAGGGGTTTGTACGAGGTGCGATCGGAAAGTTTCCAGACTGCGCCTATAAAAACCCGTACACTTATCTCAGGTATTAAATTCATCCATCACCCTCGAAGTAGTTCCCCTGGGAGTGAACACA